CAATTTATAGAAACGTTACTCAAAATTTAGTTATTTATTTTTTATGTGTTTATAATTTATCATTATTTTTAAGGCTAATATAATATTAGAGATTTTTTGTATTAATTATTTCATAACAAATTTTTAAACTTCATAAAAATAGTATTATTTTTGTTTATAATTCTTTATAGCTTATGTAAATTTTCATAAATTTATTATGCATTTTTATGTCTTTTTTAATAGTTTTAAAGTCTAAAAAAATACCATTAATATAAATATAAACATTAAAAAATATTAAAACTTTTCTACATGCAAGTCGTCCCATTATGAACTCTTCAAACTTTTACATCAATTTCTGCGAAACTAAAATCAGTTTCACTTAAAGCTTTTGCGTTAATTTTAAGTCAATTCTAAAAGCTTTTAACTTTCGCTAATGCTAAGCATATGAATCTTCATTATTACATTATGTTTTCAGTTTCCATTTTTTTTTCTTGTTTTTTTGCTTTACTTTTGCTAGCCGGCTGAAAGTACCTGAAGTTTTTCACCATTTTCTTCAGTTCGCTCTTGACGCATTTTTCTGTCATGGTCAACTCAGTTCGCAGTCGCCTAGGCGAGCTTGGCAATTGTCCATATGTGGGCATCTGTTGCTTTGGCCAATTTATGATGTCAGCTACTGTAAAGCCCGCCATGTCAACAGTCGACACCGACAACGACAACAACTGACAATGGCTATAGCAATGGCAAAAACTATTTAAAATAACAACAGACATACAGAGAGATAGATACATGGATGGAGAGAGATAGAGATAGCGAGAGAGACGGACGGAGGGATAGACAGACATGTCGTTAACGTCATGGAATTATAATTAAAAATCTGAACGAGCCGCCGGCACAGGCAACGACCCCTTCTCGCCTTCGTCTAGCAACAACATGATCGCCAGCTTTATCATCGCTATAAACATTGCGGTTTGCATATTTGATAATTGACTTGGGCTTAACGCAATTAACAAAGCGTACGATTGAAAAAATGTTAACTCCAGCCACGACATAATGTTAATATATAAATTTTAATAATAATACAAACAGCAACAGCATGGATATTAATTTTATGCATTGTACAGATAACCGCACAGCCACACACGTGCCCACATTCAGTTGTCATTTAAACATTGGCGTATTTAAAAATCGAGAAAAAATAAAAATAAAAAATAAATAAAACAATATACACACATTAATAAGTTAATAATCATTTGCAAACTGTTGCTGCCAGCGGGGCAGCATAATTGATGTGCCTCCGCCTTCGAATTTGAATTGCATAAAAGGTTTATCGCCTGCCGAGCATCTGAGCGATAATAGAGATAATGATGCGTGCTGTTCGATAATGTTTAATATATTTGTTGATGATATCATCCAATTACAGCAGCAGCAAAATTGAATTGAGAATTTTCTGGAATCCTCTCGCTAATCCCTTACAGCACATTTACATATTATAATTGTATCTATAGAGATATATCTATATTTATATGTATACACCTATAGTATAAATCTTTTAGTTTGCACATTGCTACAAAATAATTTCAGTCGGCTCAACTAACCGTGAAAATCAAATAATCAAAAACCCGCAAGCTGAACAGTCCGGACCGGACCTCTGGCCACGGCATTAATTACCAGCCAACATTTTTCGTATGCCCAACTTCCGGCAGATGAGCGACGACTACAGCAAACAAAACTATGATTATGACTACATATTAACGATTATGATCATCAGCAAAGTGGACTTGCTCCTCGTCCACAGCTCAGCCAGCTCAGTCAGCTCAGTTAGCTCAGCTAGCTCAGCCAGAGAGCCCAGCCGGATGGCCGACGTAATTGCTGGCCATTATGGCCGAGATGTATGAAAAATTGGCTGGCAAAACTTTGTGGCCCAACAGCTCGAGTCTAGTCGAGTCGTTGCGAGTGCAAACATGACGAAAATAAATAAATATCTAAAAAGAAAAAGCTACAAGAATCTGTGTATACACCATTTAATTATGCGCATAAAGCTAATTAATTAGCGCCAGTCCATGACAAATCAGATAAGAAACAGGTGTGTGGGTCTGTGTGTGTGTGTGTGTGTGTGTGTGTGTGTGCAATAGCACGAGCCAGCTAAACATAGCTCCATAAACTCGGAGAGTCATGATTCAGCTAAAAGCTAAACTGCATTTCAATTCAACTTTGCCACCGAGCCAATGCATATGAGTTATGAGCTGCGATAATATACGATGCTAACTAACTATATACTACTAAGCATAGGCATGTATTAGACTATAATAGTTGTGGCGAAAGCCATATCTGTGTGCAATTATTGTAATATGAGATTCATTAAAGCGGTTTATTAGCTGCGTCTCATGCGAATTGAGCGATGATCTAATCAAAGTGAATAATAAACATTGAAATATGGTAAAAACCTTAATGAATTTTGATGGTCAGAACGGAAGATGAACCATTGCCAAGGCCAACGGGTTATTATAGTAATCACATATTGATAGGGCTGCTCAGCTACACGGTAATTTATGTTCACCTGAAATTCTTTATGGGATTAAGCATTAAGCAGTTTCGAAACTTATTTAAATTGCTATTTAGCTATTCCATGCAAATGTTGCCCAAATTGCGATATTAATTAAATCTTTGTCGACGACGGACGACACAAGTTGAGCTTAAATTCCTGACTAAGTTTGTCGCGACAAAATAAGAAGAAAGAGCGTTGAGAACTTCTCAATTTTCTATTGTCAAAGAGAACTGAGAACTGGCCGAGAGTCCTTGGCAAGCCCAGTCGCTAGCCGCTCGTCTTGCCAATTTATTTTCATAGGCAAACATTTCGCCAAGTACACAAAAGCCAACAAAAAAAGAAGAAGAGGAAGAAGAATAAATGAAACATATACACGCAGAGCCCCGCCCCCGTTCACAAACCCCCTTCAATAGGCCATTTAATGTAAGACTCTGAGGTGTTTTCTGTTTGCTGTTTTTTTATTTTTATTATTTTTGTTTGTTGGTAATGGGATGTATTCTATAGCTGTAAGTTTGGAGCTACCCCTAATAGACTTTTAATTACCCCAGTTACGTACCTTTGTGTTTTGTTCTGCTGGCGCTTCGGGGGCCGTGTTGATTTTTGCGCAATGACAGCATGAAATTACCATTAATTTTGGGCCCTGCCAATGGCGAAACGGAAACAGAAGCTGAAAACAAAATAGATTAGCATTAGCCGTGGCAATACATGCATACAAAAATATATGTGTATATATAGAAATATATATATTGTATATGAATATATAAGTGCTGTATAGATTTATGGGCATAGAGATTTGCTTGATGAAGCGATAGCAAATATATAAGTGAGCAATCAAGGAAGGAACTGAATATACATATATACACACACATACATATATACCAATATACAATATATAATAGGGTCTAAATATATACGAGTCGCTTAAATACCTTAGTTGCATGTCAAGCTGGCATTAAGTGCGTCCCGTAAGTGCTTCAATCAAGGCAAAGTTCCCCAGCGGGAAAATTGAATAGACAGGCGACACTTGAAGTAACAGGACGCAACTCCACTCCACTCCACTCCACTCAACTCAACTCAACTCATTTCAAGTCAACTCAGCTCAGCTCAGCTCAACTATAAGAATTGACATGTAGCTGTTGAAATTTGTCACAGAAAATTAGCGTCGATTTGAGCTGCGTTTACTCAATGCATCATTTATCAATGTGCGCCAAATCGCCGACTGACAGCCAACAATACAAACAACAGCAAATGGGAAAATTGTTATAGATAGGGCTCGAGCGGAAACTCTGCCAAGAGCCACCCTGGAGGGCTGGGCGAATGACAGCGGCTTGCTGATGTTTATTGATAATGCTGCCCGTGATACGGCTCAGCGTTTGCCAAGATTTATACGCCATGAGCTGATGGTGATGGTGATTTCTTCGGCCTAATTAGCATAGGGCATGGCAGCTAGCGATTCATATGCATATCGGGTGAAAGATGAGCGTTCAAAACGAGTAAAAGTGCTCTAGTTGTATACGACTGTTATACACCCTAAACCCAGATCAAATCAAATTTCACAGCTAAAATACTAAGTAAGCTAATATTCTTAAGAAGCAAACCCACAACTCCTCGACAGCTCTCTACCAACACCGTCCCTTCACATCTGGATCTTTAAGTACCGAATCTCAGCTAAAGTAAAATAAAGTTCCCTTGAAGAGATAATAATGCATGCGTTTGAATGTATGTGTGCACATGTATGGGAAAAATGCAAATTGAAGTTTTCGAAATGTTTTGCTTTGGAACTTCTGATATTTAACAGTTTTCGATAAGCTTCTTAGCATGCGATCTACATATTCTATTGAATATTTATAAATTTAGTAAATCACAAATTCTTTCACGTAATAGAGATGAAGAACCTCAGAATACGGTGACACAAACAATCAAAAGACACTGTATAAGATTTAGAAATTTCAAGACTCTACCAACAAAGTCTTAAATGATATAATAACTGAAGAAGTAAATTTCAATAACAGTAAGACGTGAAGATTAATCGATGAAGTGAGACAACTATATGGGAATATGATATGATATGTAATATTATAACTGRATAAGTAAATGTCGATAACAGTAAGAAGTGAATACTTATCGATTAGCGACTTATCGATTAACTGCGACAACTATATGAATATTTGATATGATTTATGATATAATAACTGAATAAGTAAATTTCGATAATAATAATACATGAATTTTTATAGATTAACTGAGACAACTATATGGAGATCTAATACAAATTTCAAGTCTCAGACGAACTCATAGACGAAACGTGGCTATAACTAACTAACCCTGCTCATCGTTCGGTTCACACAAAATTTCTTTACTTTATGGCTTGTGCCACGCCTCCTGCTGCCTGTTATAGACATTTCCACAATACCATTACCCCCCGACTTTTCACTTTCAATGGGTTCCGGCTATAATAAGCAGAGCTCGTCGGGTCACAAAACCCTACGAGTTAACGGACTTGTTTTAACATATTGTTAAACTGGTTTGAAATTCGATACTTAATTCGCTCAAATTGTTGAAACTGTTCCAAATTAAATGGGCTGGCTTAGCAAAGGTTCGGCCACAGTAGCGGCCAAGCGACGAGCCTTGTTAGGCCAAATTGCTAGGCTAAGCAAACTCCTAGATTTTTGCTGTCAAATGAGCTGCTCGGATGTGAACTCAATTGACATGAGCTCTGACAGCCATATAATAGGCAAATAGCAAATGGCAAATAAACATACATACAGCAAATGCCAGCCAAATATATATAAGAGACCCTTAAATGTTGCCACTTCGACTGGCACTCGAGTTAATGCGGACAACAGCTTGACGACCAAAAGCCAAGTGTCACATGTTGAGCGCAATCTCAACTTATTTTTGGCAGCTGCTTTCAATGGACAACACTCGATGGCCGATTGTATTCCATTCCGTTGCGTTGCGTTGTGTTGCGTTGTGTTTGCTTGTCATTTGTCGCACGGCCCGAGTCAAGTGCTGAGTTTTAACTGCCATTTGAATAGCAATTTTACAACAATACCAATTGGCTGGCCGACCAGACCAGGCCAGGCCCGGCCAGGCCATTCCACAAGTGACCCAACTTGAACCGCATACAGATTGATACTCGACTGCGTTATGGCCAACATACTTCAAGTCGAACTCGAACTTCGGCCCGAACGTGGCCAAACTGACACTTCAATGGCATTTCGATCTCGTCAGTTTTTGGTTTTTCGGCTTTTCGCCTTAATTTTTCAGTCAATTTTTTCTTCGATTATTATTATTTCCAATTGATTTTATTTTTTATTTGTAGTTTTTTGAGCTTGCGCTTTGTGCTTTGCATACTTGAGCAGCAGCTGGCAGTGAACGTAGCTGGGTCAAAGCATTGGCCATCCTTGCATTTAACCCTCACCCCCGCCTGATAATTATGGCCAGCATTGGAATGCAGTCTTGGGCTTTTCATGTTTGTCTTACCAATTGCCAAGTTTTGTATGCCGCGGCACGCGTACAAAATTATATCGAACGCCCTTGAAATGCGCGCCGCACATTGCGCATTTAATACTCGCTTTTATTTTATAGTCAGTTTCGTTTTTGTTTTTGTTTTTCTCTCTTGCTGTTTCTTTATAGATATTTATGGTAAGCTGGCGAACGTTTAGTTTTCAATTTCAAATATATATATATATATATGTATGTATGTATGTATGTATGCATATATATTTATAGCCAGAAGGTCGTGCGCAGGCGTTGACAATTAACTGGCCCGCACTTGGCATCGGCAGTCGGCAATCGGCATTTGTAAACACTGAGTCTATCGACAGCATAACAGTTAATGAGCTGCAGCTTAGCACCTACGGCTCATAAATCATATTTATCATAACTAAATACTTTATTGTTATGTATAAATTACAGCTGTATAAATTACAATTGAATTCGAACTGGAGCTGCAGCCGTGGCCAGACCGGGGGCGAGGAAGTTGTTCAAATTATACGTTATATTGAACCAACATTGTCCCAAAGATAACGGGCGAGGGCACATCATGAGAGATGACGTCGTGCAGGCGACACCTTTATCCGACTATGTTTCCTTCCATGTGCATATTATACAAAATGCTGCTGCCTCAGTCTCTCCAGCCGGCAGCTGCCTTTCAATTACGACTCTTGTCAATGCCCTGCACCGCAGCTGTTAACACACAACCAACCAGGGCTAGGCTAGGACAGCCAGGCAGCCAGGCAGCCAGGCAGCCAGCCAACCAGTCAGCCAGGCAGACAGGCAAGCAAGGCAACCAGCCAGGCTCAGGACATCTATTGAATATGCTGTGTCCCTCTCACTCACACACACACACTCTCCCTCTCTCTCTCTCTCTCTCTCTCCTGCTCTCTCAGCTGCATGTCGCCCATTTTTCGTATGACAAAGCGTGCCATTGTTGATCTTCTGCCCAGGCACCGCACCGTCGCCTATGTAGCAGCAGCAGCCCAGCACCAGCCACCACTTAACCAGCCAAGCATTCATCCAAACACACTCACACTCACACACACACGCACACAAATTTCTATATATATATATATAGACTAAATCGCCATGTAGGCACAATGGGCGAACGTTTGACACTCAATAGAAAGCCATATGGCACCTGTGCTTGGTGCGTGCTGAAGAAAGTGCTTAAAAGGCTGCCTATCGATATAATAAATTGAAATAATCGATATTTGACTAGGGCTTAAAAAAATGTTTGTGCATAGAAATAACAGTAAATACAGATTTGACATACTTGAATAAGTTAAAATTGTTGCTTCACTTAGGTTTGGTTTATAAATCGATGTTGATTGACTTGTCGATAAATATATCGATAATGAATGTAACAGCTTTAAGATACTTTGATAGCCTATCAAGAGCATTGTAGCTTTAAAATAATGCTAAACAGTGAAAAACTTCTCATCGAAAATATCGATAACAGCTGAGATTGTACGTTTGCCAAAACCGATTGTTTTATTGTGATGAATAATGATAGGTAATAGCTATACCAACCATATATCGATATTACTGATTCTGACAAACACTATTACAACAGATTGGCGGCATTATAAGACTTTCAATTCATAACATGTAATACTGATTGTAAGCATACTGTCATTGGCAGCTATATCCATAATTTATCGATATATGCATAGCTTACACTTGCAATGAATTCAGTTTTCCAGGCTGTAAAGAGTTTCTCATCGGACTTATCGATATCCTCGCAAAGCATGACAAACAATATCGCTGATCGATAACATGACAGCTTACAGCTGCAATTAATAAAGCCAGCTGGACAGCTCACAGATTGAACCGGACATGACAATTGGGCATTTTTTGGTCCACTCGATAACTGTATTGTGCGCAGCATAGCAACCAATAACACTGACACTTTGATAGACACATGTATCGCGGAAGCAGTAGAAGAAGGAACGAAGACAAAGAGGCAAACGATAACTTATAGATTATGCGCCAAAGATTGAGCGTGGCTCGACAGCGTCTTGCCGCTTTGTCTGTTACAGTATTAATGCTGTGCATCCTTGCAGCTAGTCAGTCGCTCCCATGGTGAGTTGGCGCTGCAGTCACCGTTTGCTGACATGTCAGAAATTTTAACTGGCAATTTGCAGCAGAACGCACGCCACGCAC